GTGTGTGTGTGTGTGTACACAATTTAAACAGACTGCTCTCACATGGAATTGCTGTCACTGAATTGATTAATTCATGTGTGGTTTGTGATTTCAAAAGTTGCCAGCTCAGAACCCCATCTTGAAGAATATCACAGATTACCTGATAGAGGAGGTGAGTGCTGAGGAGGAGGAGCTCCTAGGCTCCGGGAGTGGGATGGATCCTGAGGAGAGCGCCAAGGAGGGAAACCCTACAGAGACGACTGTGGAGAGGGATGACAAACTGGCTAAGGTTTGACTTTTGCAGTTATGAGTACAAATGCTGCACAATTCTGTATTATAACAATGCTTTATTGTTATCCTTGATGTGCTGTTATTGTCAAAGTAGTAGTAAATCAAATATCTACATTCAGTCTTTATGAAATTTACCATTCACCTCGTTCCAGGTTTTGGATCGTCTGGTTTTGTATCTTCGTATTGTCCATTCAATTGACTACTACAACACCTGTGAATACCCCAGTGAGGACGAAATGCCCAATCGCTGTGGCATGATCCATGTACGTGGACCCATCCCTCCTAACCGCATCACACAGGGAGAAGGTCAGTGCGTTTCCCTTGTGTCATAACATGGACGAGTGTACTTGGAAGAGAGAAAGTAAATATGTTGATTGTACAAGAGAAGCTTTGATGCATAAATGTGTTCCTGTTCAGCTTTGGAGCTCTGGAGTTGAATGTATGTATGTACTATTGTAGCTCCTTACTAGTTAATAATTTTGGTGTGTTTGAATTACGTTTTACAACACTATTTTGCACAGATTCTTACAGTTAAACATCCTGGATCTTTTTATGTATTTTACGTGCTTTACAATGTACAATATAACTCAAAAGTTGTAGTATTGTGTATCTAAAAATATGTGTAATATCTGTGGAAAAATACATTTTGTATAATGACACATTGGTTAAAGTTAAAGTCTGTATTGAGTACGTAAAAACCTTAAATCATTCTTATAACCTTTTTAACACCTGTCACATTTTCCTGGTAACTCAAACAGTGCAACAATGGCAAAAGATGATGGAAGAGAAGCTGAGTCCTTTGTTTAGTTTAAAAGAAATCCTTTCTGAGGAAGAGGCGGCAAAGATGGGCCGCAAAGATCCTGAGGATGAGGTGGAGAAGTTTGTGTCTGCTAACACTCAAGAGCTGGGAAAGGACAAATGGCTCTGCCCACTAAGTGGCAAGAAATTTAAGGTGAGCACTTGGACTGTACAACATATTGACATGTTTTCGACTAAGCCTCTTCACATTTCTTTGTGAGGACATGTACATTAGTGCATCGTCATTCAGTGCTGAGGGACTTTCTCAATCTCTAACAAATTTCAAGGGCCCAGAGTTTGTACGAAAGCACATCCTGAACAAACACGGCGACAAAATTGAAGAGGTGAAAAAGGAAGTGACGTTCTTTAACAATTTCCTGATGGACGCCAAGAGACCATCGCTCCCAGAGATGAAGCTTCCTCCTCTTCCAGGACAAGGTCAAGGTCGGCGCAACATTTATTCCGCTCAGATACAGAACTGGAAGCATTAATAATAAAGCTTACAGTGGTGCACCATGGGTTAGATAATGAAATCATATTTTGTTCGACAACAATATAAACAGTTTATTTTTTATTCTACAGGTTTGCTTTCTCCCAGCATGCCGTTTCCTCCCCAAGGTCCTCAGGGTCCAATGGTCTTCGGACAGCCTCGTCCACCACTGATGGGCTATGGTGGTATGCTATTAGAAACGACGATACTTTGAAATGTGTTTTTCAGTCGAGCCGCTACCGTTGTGTTGACTTTGACACCTTCTTTTCAACAGGCGGACCTCCTTACCCCCCCAACCAATATGGAGGAGGCAGAGGAAACTATGACAACTTCCGCGGACAAGGTGGCTACCTGGGGAAGCCACGCAACATCAGGTGAGACCACTGTACGTGTGAGCTTTATTTTGCTATGGGCTTTTTTTGCTATTGGAGAATTTTGAACCTCTTTTTACGATCATTTCTATTCTTTTTTGTTTAACCATCTCAGAATGTCCCGAGGTGACCCACGCAACATCATTGAATATCGCGACCTGGATGCACCAGATGATATGGACTTCTTTTAGAAAGTCACTCTGCCCTTTCAGTCTCCACTCTGTACCAGTGTTTTTCTGCTTGCTTTCTGTAGTAATTAGGTTATTTCTTTTCCTTAATATTTTTTTGGTAATTATCGTGCAACCAGAACAAACATTTGTTGTAAACTGATTCCTCAATAAAGATGTGATCTAACTTTATTCATATGTATTTGATGATTTATCAAATGTAATCTAATTGTGTGTGACTTAAAACTGACCAGAGCAGCCAAATGATACAGAAAAGCGGCCTGTAGATTTAAAAAGACAAGATACTAACTAAGAAATGAATCCCAGACGCCTCCTCATATCCCTCTGTGGTCAGGTCTGCGTTTAAGAACTTGGGATCATGGTTAGCGTCAAACAGGTCAGTGTGGGGGTCTGATAATGAACATTAATCTTTCTATTAATCTACAACAATTACATGTTGTAGATTAATAGAAATCTTATTTTTTAACAGTATGTTGTGGTGTGTTGTACATTTGTGCTCATGATTTTTTCTGGGACAGATGTTTGGAGACCCCAAACCCCCCTGGTGAAGGAATTGAAGCAGACAAATAAATGGTTGCCCTCTACTGGATAAACTATTGAATTACATGTGTCCTCAGGCCCTTTAGGTTGACACAGCTGCTGACTAGAAATCTGCAGAATCCTTGCAGTGGTGAAAGAAATAATTAATATTTTCAGTAATGTACAAATAAACCACTTACAAATGAAAAAGTTATTCTGAAGTTGGTTCTTACACTACCTGTATTCATTCTTGCTGGGGTGTCATTTACATAATTCATGCAAATGCAACACATTTTGGCATAAGAAATAATTTATTTGGCGCATGGTGCCTTTTCATAACACGTCTTCAGATATTCTGTATTAGAAATACACAAATCCATAAGTGGGTTCATGACAAATATAGCCTACTAAGACATCATCAGTGTTTTCACTGCTTTTCAAACAGCATTCCCACACAATGGGCGTCACAGCTTAATGATTATTTAACATCCATGTTAAATAATTTCAAATACAGGCAGAACGTACAGCATGGGCAGATCCACACTGTAATGAGCCACACTAAAAGCAGCAAAGAAAACCAGCTACACAGTTTGTGTGGAAGAGAAATGTCTAAATGATCTGAAGCTTGTGACTTTCAGAAAGTCCACAGCTGACCTTGTGTTCATGGAATAACTTGGACAAGGCCTCCATGTAAAGTCTGTGATAGTGGTCGACCTCCTCCTCTGTAGGAATGACACACTTTGGCACTGAGATCGGACTTCCCACTGGAAGAAACAGAGTGTTAGAATAAAATGGGCTCGGTGCAGCAAGTTAGGCCTATATACAGAATAATGAAATACTCACCAACAGTGGTGATCGGAATCCTGTAGGGCATGAAAGCCAAACGCTCACCAACAAATAGACATGGGGCGAAACCCATAATCTTTTTGAACAGGTCCTGTAGCCTCCGACCTAGACTACCATCAGAGAAAATGACCTGCTGAAAGAGCTCATTCTCTCCAAATGAGTAAACAGGCACCAGATCAGCCCTGTGGAAGATAATCACAGATAATATCAGTGTGTCCAGTAGTGAGCTGCTGGTCACATGTGAGTACAATGATACACACTGACTACTGTGTGTTTTTAACAGTATTCTCACCCAAACTCAAGGGCCACCCTTACAAATCCTTTTCTCTGCCTCATGACCACTGTGTTGAGTCCAGGAGAGGATGCCAGAGACTCAGCAGCGCCCCCTATCACAATCACCACTGCATTACCCTTGCCTCTCTTTGAAAGGAGGTGGGCAAGGCTCGGTTTGCTGACTGGATAAAGACCTGATCAGACAAAGTGAGACAGTAACAGCAGTTTAGTTCAACTGATGGAGATTGTGGTTCTGGTCCAATTTACAACTTATACTAGTGTGATGTAGAAACTTGCGACATCTTGTATCCAGCAGGAAAAGTTGAACAAAAATGAAATATTAATGAGGTATAAGGAGCAGATGCCTTTTAAAGGATTTTAATGTGGAAATGTATACATGCTTTATTGTGGGAAAAATACGAGATGTGTGTATTGTTCCAGGCACACTATTTGTATTATGTCTTAATAATTGACTGGAGGGGATCTATAAAGACAAGAACAGGAAGGCTTACATGTTAAATATGGTTGATGTCAAAAGTTGAGACTGAGATGAGCATGTTTTAAAATACCTGCACTTATTATGTACTCCCTAAAGAGTGGTATCCTGAAAAGTCCTCCCAGTATCGCCAGGGAGGATCTCACGCCCGGAAACACCTCAGTGAAGCCACAGCTCTCTGTGCTGAAGCAGGTAAAGGCTCCAGCACTCATGATACCATGAGGGTGACAACCCAAGATGTAGTTCTTGTTTGGATTCAACTCGGCTGTCTTCACCAACTGTGCAAGAATTGACACGAGAGGATTTAGTCATTGATTGAAGTCAATCTCTGCTGTTAACCATAAAACCAAACCCACTTCAGCTGTACATTATCTCACTGAATGAGAGATTAAAAAACACAACAAAACAAACGACAAAAACTGGTTCTTTTAGGTGTTTTAATGGGAGAACTGATGAAAGCAATGTCGATAAAATGCTTCCAAAATTAAACACTCATTACAAAAGGTTTTTAATCATATAGTTCTATTACAATAACTGTAGTTAATAAAGAATCTCAGCATATAATACAAAGAAATATCAGTGTTTTATACTTCCCAGCATGTATATAGTACAATGAGTACAGACTCTTACCCTTAATTGTTTACAAAAATTTAATTTGAAAAGATTTGAGAGGATATTGGAGTTGTTCTGTATGAACTGTACACAAACCATTTTGTTTTTTAAGAGCTAACATTTTAAAATAGTTCTACTACAGTGTCCTGTCATCATTAAATAACTGTCGCATCCATGTGTTTGTCTGAAATTGTCTGAAATCGGATAATAAGAACACCAAATGTAATGCAGGCATTTCAAGATACAAAGTATAACTTACTTTGACTGGAAAGAAATCTCTGAAGTGCTCCCATACCCTCCACTTCCTCACGAATGTTGTTCTCCTGCCCCCTGATGGAGACATTAGAAATCTTAGAGACACTGGGTGTGTCCAAATTTCACACTACACACTAACTGTATAGCCTACAGTTTCTTTTATGTACTATGTATTGTTGTAGGATACTAAAATCAACATGGCCTGTGTCCAAACTACATAGTACACAACTGATTCTAAGCAGGTTTTGAGTACGTAGTGCGTTTTCACTGGAAAAGTGACCAAATAAAGTCAAAAGAGTCAGTATACACACTGATAAAGCCTGAGTGTACCGTTTATGGGCACTGGTCTCCCACAATGCAATGCACAAGGGAACTGGAAGAACTGCTGAAAGAAAATTTCAAACCGTTTATGTCTATGAAACATCCTTTAGAAAACAAATGAAAAAAAACTATAAATCTTTGCTCTCTCTTAAAGTTTATTTTTTGACCTGTTGCACATAGCATATACTCTATAACATCAGTATGTAGTATGAGCAATGTTTTATACCAACAGGAAAGGATCAAACTATGATATTATAGTTCTTTATGTTTTTGGAGGTATTCACACAGCTGTTTTCCGTTTGTTAGGAACTCCCCATGATATATATTCATCATGGGGAGTTTAATATGTCGTTGATGGAAATAGTCCATCAACAACACAATAAAAATAATTTAGTGTATATACTGGCTTTTTAAAATAAACTCCAGTGTGAACACACTTCAGAGCCTGCTTGTCATTAGTAAATAGTTTAGAAATGAGTGTATATGTGCATGATCCTTTGATTTACATGGATACTTAAGTTGTGTAATTTTCTTTACCTCTTTCAGGGGTGTGCCAGTCCATCACCATCCATATGAAGTACAGAGTGGAGAGCGGCCACAGTGAGGTGAACATCAGATACACCATCAAGATAATACAAGCCACTCCTGAAAAATATTTTGAATTGTTAAGATATTAATGAATACAGTGTTGTTTTACAGACGCAGTGAAAAGCTTGTGAGCTAATGAAGCTATAGCAAATATTATTTGACTTATTTTCTAAAGTCATGTTATACATGTTCATAAAGATTAAGGGTAGTGGGATCTTACCTAAGAAGATAAAGCTTAGGACCCATTGCAGAACACTTACTGCCTCTAAAAACTCCTTCCACTGAGTTTTTTCTTTAGTCATTCCTGCAACCTGGAGGCCATACCATCAATTTTTAGTGGTTAATAACATTTTAAACTGTGCTTTCATTCAGTAAAGGTCACGGGTATATAAGTTCTATAATTAATGCCTGTAGAAAAGACAAAAGTTGCTTTATCTGAGCTAATAATTAAATGTATGATAGATGTCTTTATGATAGAGATCAGATTCCATTAGTAATCAGCACTTCAGCTTGTGATCTTAATCTTCCTTTAGGGAAGTCATAGTCTTAAAAACTTGCAAGCCATGCAGCAGCCTGATGAAATTACTTACTTATGAACAAGCTGACAGGCAAACCAAGACAGTGGGGTTTTTAATTTGCTTACAAATAAAACTTGTCAACCAAGCTTGCATGAGCACAAAACACCTCTGGCTAAAAGTCATTAAAACAACATAAAACAACGTTTATGGTTATACCGCTGAGCATAAAACATCATACTTTACCTTCTCAGAGTTTATTCCAATGTTAATTTGAATGGATGCAGATTTACCAGTTCAGGAAAAGCACACAATGCAGGATGCACTTTGACCAGATCATGTTAAGCTTACTGATAACAAATCCACTCCCCAGATACTTTGACACACAAGCAATGTCAGAGATAAACGTGACATAGTTTTATAGTTAGATACTCTGTGTATTGGATCTGTGTAGCGTCCTCTGGAGGACTTGCAATGGTGTCATTATCAAATCATGTCATGTGTGGTGTCTCTTTTGCATTTGGTTGCTCTATTGGCCAACAAGATTGCGTGTCAATCTGTTCTGCTGCTGTTATTCAGCTTAAAGTGATTTGGATCAATATTACAGTACAGTTACTGTTGTTCGTCAGAGTTTTTCTCTACCAGAAATAACCAATAAGAAATGTTGTTCTTGATCACTGATAAATGTGGATCATTTCCATGTGCTTTCTCTGTGTTAGGCTGCTGTTAGGGAAACTCATCACTTCCTGCAGATGTTTTACAATAGAAGCCTTTTTGAAAGTGAAGGGATTCTGCAGCCTGGACCAGTCGAAGGCTTTTATTTTGAAACTGAGTGAGGAAACAGTAGCAACAGCCTCGCAATTCCTGCTGCATGCTGTCTGACTTACTGGGACACTTAATTCAATGGAGTCTTTGTTAATGTTATTATTCACACCTGTGCTTTTCCTGCTTCGACAGGTCAAAATGTCTGCTGTGAATTAAAAGGTCCTACCTACTCTCACAGGTGTTTTCAGTTACCCTGGATGATTAGCTCTCTAGTCAGGTTGAAGTTGGGTGGAGCTTTGCTGGGACTTATGGGATGTTGCCAACCTCTGTAAGCCAATAAGAGTAGTGACAGTGTAAGTTGTCTCGCCCTGACAGGTGCAACAAACTGAACAGCAGTGTGAGGGAGATGCCAGTCAAGTGCAAATTGTCCATGCCCCCACACAGTCCTGAGAAGAAGTCCAATCGGGAAAGAGAAAACACCTGTGTGTGTATGTGTTTAAAATCAAATGGTATTAGCTGGTGCAGTAGTCAATTCTGATTTATTTTAGAATATGTATAGAAAAGTAAATACAGACTGGACTATTTATACCCTACAGCTTTAATACTAGATAATGGCCAATCACAATAAATATTATTTGTTGATAATAAGCATATGGTATAGTACTGTGTATGTACTAAACTTATTACGTATTAAACATATTTATAGTTATTATGTATTGGACTTACATTTATTAGTGACTACTCTCACCAGGTGGGACATTTGGGCTTGCTGCACCAGACACCAGCACAGTAATAGTGTGGACAATTGTGTCCCATGTCTTCATTCGGTTATCTACTTTAAATTACGTTGACCAATCTCTGAGGGAAGCTGAATCAATCATTGACTCATCAACTATTTAGATGTGGACTTCAACTTTCATACTCTGATATCTGCACACAGTGCACAGCTCTCTTTGTAGCAGCGACAGTCCAAAGATTCCTCTGCTAATAGCCTACATGATTAGTAGGCTGTGTTTGTCAAGAGGGATCACTCCTAATCTCTTACTTGGTTGTTAAAACTCAGTGTTTACCAGTGTGCAGGATTTAGTGGCATCTAGTGGTGAAGCTTCAGATTACAACTAACCGAATACAGCTCTCATCTTTATTTGACGGCCTGGGAATGAGAAACTGTGGATGTGAAACATGTGAAGGGTCCTATAACCAGAGCCAGAGTTTGGTTTGTCTTTTTTATGGGATACTGTACAAACATGGCAGTTCAACATGACAGCATCTGTAGAAAAAAACAGCTCATTCTAAGGTTACAAAAACACTCCTTTATTCAGGGGTTTATACACTAATGAAAACATACCTATGGATATTACATTCCAGTTCTGCCAATAGATCCTTCTCAATGTTACACACTGGACCTTTAACTGGCTCAGCTGTCCTCACCTATACAATCTCCCATAGACGTTAGGGGGCGTGGCTACTGCACACAGGCCATGTGTTGGCTAGTTTGTCATGTGACACCTCGCCCCCAAAAAACACCACAATTATATACTTAAGGTTAGTAGGTTACCCCCATAAAAGGGAAAGAAAAAGTGTTTTCCTTTATATGGACTCAACAGTAGTCACGTCCGCACTTTCTTAGTCAGATCCCATTTTATTTTCTATTTTTTTAAGCTGTCATTGAAATGAGTGGTCACCCAGACACAGTCCAAACAAAATGTCATACCAATATTCCTATGACGGCTTAGCCTACTTTATGTCCGTGGTGTTCATGGGTTTATTTCGAGCGCATTTTATACTTAATAGTATTTTATCCCCTAACGCTCCGATAATACACTTCTATGTGACAGTTGTGCTTAGTCTCTGTTTATCCTGGTATTCTTGATAACTAAATGTTTGTTCGGGTTGTTTAAAGTTTAAAAAAAAAAAAAGAAATCGCCCGCCACTTTTATCCACAATCCATCCGGACATTTAAAGAGTCTGCCGCTGAATCTCCTGCTAAATGTGAGTGGTGGAGGGAGGATTTCATGTCAGCCGGCTGATAAGAAGAAGATAACAGCCTCTCTTTGCAGTTGGACTCAAAACCACCTCTCTCTTTTTCCCTCTTTCTTCTTCTAAAAACAACCAGCGCTCCGCTCTCAGGAAGTCCTGTATGAATATGAATATGGATGCAAACACGGCGCGAGGATGCCCAGCGCGTGAACCAACACAGCGCGCGGATATCTGCGCATTTTTGTGTTGACGTTTTTTTTTTTTTGGTTTTTTCTTCTTCCCCCTCTCTCTTCATGCCTGAACCGAGAGCGTGTTTCTTTTGCGGAGGTCGTGTAGGAGGCTTTTTTGAAGCCCACGAGGATGTCGTTTCACCTGAGTGTTTGCAGAGGACCGTTTTGTAACGTCGCATTGAATTGCATCATGGTTTTCAATCAGTTCTCACACCGGCCAGGCTACACCGAGCCTCGGTAGTAACAGTGCGCTGTTTATCATAAAAATGGAAGACCTTTCACGTCAAGAAAAGGCGTCATTCCGGTGATATGCGTCTGAATAACTGATTTTTCATTTCCACGTCAATTGACACATCTGGGAAAGCGTTTTTTTCCTTCCCTCCCGTCTACCAAGACAGCTGTGTCATCAACAACCGGCGTGGTGTTGTTGTTGTCTGATTTTTACGAGCCTGGGCAACTGGATATCGGCATAGTCTGCCTCTGCGCCAGCCATAGGCTACCCGGTTACTAAGGTAGGTTTCACACCTTCATTAATATTATGTTTTGCTCCATAAATCACCGCATGAGTTGCTTACATCATCTAGCCCATATAACCAGCTGTCATAGTCAAAATGCACTGTCTGCCTAATTAGCAGCAGAAAATATGAGGCTGTATTGCGGAGGAGACGTCGGGCCTGATGGCATTTTTACGCGTAAATTTCACGAAATCCAAGGCTGACAGTGAGCCGCCGTGTGTTCACAAGCCAAATTATTCAACCTTGAAGCCTCGCAGCCCGTGACGGTGAATATAAGGCCTGTATTTTAGCCACAAACACAAAAGAGATGTAAAGATAACGGCGAGGACCGCCGCGCACTGTAACCCACAGCCCGTGTTTAAGTTCAGTCGTGACAAGACCTTATAAATATTTCACCAAAAAACAAGAAGCCTCCATCAGCTGACTGGTGATGCTGGAAGCATGCACGGCGTTATTAATCAGACACCTACACCACAGCGGTGTCAGCGTTAGGAGGCTCGTTCTGCAGGGCCATGATGGAAAACATCTGCATGTTTACGGATAATAAGAGTATAGCAGAGGTTGTATGGCGTGTGTGTGTGTGTGTGTGTGTGAATGGGCGGTAGTTACTCTGATTGTGAATACACTGGTGGTGTGTGTGTGTGTGTTTGTGCGCAGCCAGGTGAGGATGTGGTGGCGCGTCTTTGAGGTGCGGGGAGGCAGGCGTCTGGGTGAGGGGAGCCAGTTCATCAGATGTGTCTTTTTTTTTCTTTTTCTTTTTTTTTTTTAAAAAAAAAAGGAAAGCCCATCAGATACCCAACAAAGTGCCGCAGTATCCCACCTTAGATCCTTCATAAGACGATCCAAAAGGGTCGAGGGGTTGTGAATTCAACGTGAAATTAAGGTTAGTCAACACTGTTTTTGTCCCCCTCCGCCCCTGCACCCCCATTTTCCGGGCGTGACAGCCATTCAAAACGAGCATCACTCACACTGAGAGATTTTTTTCTCTTCCTCACCTCTCCACCACATGCTTTTAGCAATTTCAATAAACAGTACTTATTAGGCTGCTGGAATGAAAGCGTTTGGTACAGTTGTTTCTCTGCCTGACTGGCTTTAATGTCTCTTCCGATATTACTTGGAAGAAGAATCAGGGAAGACTTGGCAGGGGATGTTATATCTATACTGAGTGGACATTTTATTTTGACAGAAGCAGTCATGTCAGTTAGTAGGCTATCTATTACCAAACAAATACAACATGAAAATGTCAAAGGATCGCAAAACTGCAGAGCCCCAGAGTGAATATAGAAAGATAATGATTCTTTTTGGGATGGTGATACTTTACTTTCTGCCTGAAATTGAACTGAAACAAAAAATGAAACTAATTACCAGCCAGTCTCGCTTGACCTTGGAGCTGAATATGACAAAATTCACAAGTCTTGCTTAGGCTGACGGATGCAGATAAAGTGGATGTGAGGTGTGACTGTCTCTTGTGCTGTTTGGTTTATGTTGGTACAGATAGAGCAGAGCAGGGATGGGTGAGAGCAGCTGTGACTTTGGGGTCATTGAGTGCAGGCAGCCACACATACTGTGCACCGTGTCTTGAATGCAGAAGAAAACCAGGGCTCGCACAAGCTGTCGCCAAGTGTCGTCGCTCACCTGGTGGTCCCAAAATCCAGTCCAGAAATCTTTTATAGTCGGGAAACAGCAACTCTGTGTGGCAGCTCGGTCGGTTTGTGCCGTGCGTGGAAATAAATGAAATTTGAAACCTTTATTCCTCGAGGATTTATCCTGCTAAATCATAATGTAGAGCTTCTAAAATATATGAAAACCAACCACAGACTTTGGTTAAGCGTTAATGAAATTGGGCAGAGCTTGTAGGAAGAATAAGAAGTGACTAGTGTTTTCAATAAAGGAGAAAGCATTCTGACTATACTTGAGCTTTTCTCCAGGAAGTGGATGATTCAGATGCTCTGACCGGCTTTGTACGTCGTGTCTGATTCCAAAAAGGATGAGAAATTCAACTTGGAAGATTGAATACACAAATATACTGAGAGGGTGAGGGAAGGCCCACACGGGACTGATGGATGTGCGACACACGTGGCAGATGCTGACATTATAAGCCCATTTCTCTAGTTGAGTGGATACCCCTGTCTGGATGAGCAGTAATGGATTTGTGTTTTGTTTTTTTTTGGATGTGGATTTCCTGGAGCACAGGTTGTTTCTATAGAGTTTGAGCAGCAGCAGGTCAATAGGTTGGTAAAAGTAATACAAA